TGTTTTGTTCTGTTGGGCATGGGGGCGCTGAGTCGGAACCAACTTGATGGCACCTAACAACACCACTAACATCAGCCTCCTGAACTGCTAGTGAGTACATCTGTGTTGGGTAAAGCCATCCACTTGGGGCATTTGTGTTATATCAGAACTACAGAACCAAGATAATGCCCAGTCTGGGGTACTTACCTACTCACAGCCCAGGGAAACCACTGAAGGGGTCAATGGGGCATTGATACAATCAAATGTACACAAGGAACACATTTCCAGGCATATTAGATGAACAGTAGGTGGAGCACGGAGAGTTTAGTTGTGTCCCTGCCACATGCATGGGTGTGACAATTACTTCAGCCGGACTCCCAGTCTGTCCTCCCCGAGTCTGTCTGCTCTCCCCCACAGGGGGCAAGGACAGCACTGGACAGACAGCCACACGGTGTTTCCTTGGGCCATTCTGTGCGTTCCTCTGCCACAAGCCCAGCCCGCCCCGGTCACCACGGCATTGCACTCTGAAAGCAACGGGAAAGGGGGCTGATAGCTGGCCTTGCACATTGGGGTGTGCTGGAAACTTTAGGGGGGAAATGAAAGGGTGATGGGTGGGGTCTAAAGACTGTTCCCTGAAATGGGGTTACAGATGGCATGAACAAGAAGACAGAAGGGTGCTTGCGACTCATAGCATGAGTGGGGAGCACCTGGTTTTCACGGGGGACTGAGATGGCTCTGGTGTTTAGAGAAGTTAAATAACTTGTCTGGTGGCTGTAGACAAGTAATTCAATTTCTCTAAGTCTTCGCTGGGAGCCCTGGTGGTGCGGTGGTTAAGCACTGGCCTGCTAACCAAAAGGTCGGCGGTTCGAACCTACCAACGGCTCATCAGGAGAAAAAGTGGCAGCCTGCTTCTGTACTAATGATGTACTCAGCAGTCCGACTGATTACTACAAGAGCAAGCAAGTTGCTCGCCCAGGAGACATCAAGGCAAGTGGTCAGGTCCCCTCAGGGCAAACCCCCCTCCAAGACTAAGACTCAATGGGAATATATGAGCAGACAGACATGTGCTCTGACTGGTGACCACGTTCGTCACTGATAAGCGGAAGTGAGGGAAAAACAGCAATGAAACTGCGAGCTAAGCCCTACAACGTTCAACATACTCCTGGGAACCCAGGTGAAGACCTGGTTGGCCAGCAGTGTGGCAACACCTGGGGACTCTTGGGTCCAGGGTCAGTGACATAGCCACAGAGGACTAGAGTGGAGAGTGAAGTGCCCAGCTGATAAGAAGAGAGGGCACATGCACAAGAACACTCACACTTGCAGATAATACCCACTTGACCTGACTTCAATGGCTGGATGATCAGAACTGAACTAGATGAAGAAAGAAGAGGAAAAAAAAAGTAATCTGATACAATTTGATGAACTTGATCTACACCCATGGATACAGTCACTCAAAAGAGGGAACAAATCTTTACAGCGAGCATCATTCCCATCCCCTCCCATACACAGAGTAGACAGGGATGGGCAACTTGGACATTGGCTACCCAAAATGGGAGTTGTGGGGAGGCTACAAAGGCAAGAAGTGACTGGCTTTCAAGGTTTCAAGAGGGAACCTTGATCCTGAGGGCATGGAGGAAGATAGAATGTCCACTGAATAATACCCAATCTGTCTAGGTAGGGCTGATGAAAGGAAATGCAGATAGGTCTCTTGTGATACAATAGTGAATAATTGTGATCAGGACTGATTGTGAGGGTCGGAAATGTAAAGGTAGATGTTTTGTATTAGGAGGGGATGATTAACTTTGCAGTTTAGAAGTGGAGGTCCCTGAGACCACCAAGGGAGATGAGCGCAGTGTGACACCCAACCCAGAGAAGCAATGATGCCAGAGATGGAGGCAGAGGATGAAGTGGAGAGATGGAGCGGCTGGGGACTTTAGACCCAGAGAGGGAGAGGGGCTGTGTGCTGACGACTAGGGGGTAGACTTGCAGGGTATACCCTTTGGTTGGTTGATGATGCATGGAGGGGATTGTAACCATGGCAATGAAACTATATACGATAGGATGAGTGTAAAGTTAATGTTCTCCCATGTAAATTGTCACATAATTCACAATAAAACATTAAAAAAATGATGTTTTGGTAATCAGCAGCATAAAAGATTGAAATGCCATTGTCTGCAAGAAACTTCAAAAAGTTCATGGTGAAGGGAATGCAAACACAATGGAATTTTTCCACAAACTTTTTGAAGCCCCCTCGTGTATGTTTGAAGAACATGATTATTTCATAATTATGTTACGACAATAGCATAAAGAGTTGTAAAATTATCATGTAATCAATAAATGTAAAATGAGAACCTTCAAATTCCACAAAAAAATAAAACGATGATGGTCTCAGGAACCAGGCCCCGTGACTTACAAACAACTCAATGCCAACAGGTTATTTTTTCTAAGGTCTTAATTTCTTGATCAATGAAATCAGTATTAAAAAACCAACCAACCAAAACATTTGAATTTGCAAGGCTGTTGGCAGGATTAAGGATTTGCTGTTGTTCAGTGCTATCAAGTCGTTCTGACTCATAGCGACCCTGAATAGGGTTTCTGAGAGTGGGTGGTTGGTTTGAACTGCTGACCTGGCAGGTAGCAGTCTGGTGTTTATCTACACCAGGTCTGAGGGCAACACATGCGAAGTACATGACAGGTGGCTCGGGCTCAGCACATGTGAATTACGTGACAAGTGGCTTGGGCTCAACACGTCTTGTATTCCATGCACCCACCCATTGCTGTCACGTGATTCCGACTCACAGCGACCCTACAGAGCAGAGGAGAACCGCTCCTTAGGATTTCTGAGACTTTACATCTTTACAGAAGCAGCCAGTTCCATCTTTCTTCCATGGAGCAGCTGGTGGGTTTGAACCACTGACCTTGAGGTTAGCAGTCCAACGCTTAACTCATAGCACCACCACGGCTCCTTGTATTATATCTGGTGGCGGTGTGTCGTTGAGTGTGTTCCGACTCATAGCGACCCTGTATAGGGTTTCCGAGGCTGTAAATCTTTACAGGAGCAGAAAGTCTCATCTTTCTCCCGTAGACAGGTGGAGTTGAACTGCTGACCTTGCGGTTAGCACCCCAACGCATAAACCACTACACTATCAGGGATCCTTTGTGCTATATGCAGCGAGAGGCTATTTCAGACTCCTGACGTGCTAGAGGCAGTGGAATGCTTTCTGTGAAGGTCACAGAAACGCTGAGTTTAAAACTAAAGCTCGAATTTTTTACCGTCAAACTCAAGACATTGCAGAGGTAACCAGAATTGGGTATTTTCAGGGTCCTTGGAAACCCTATACAGGGTCACTATGGGTCGGAATCAACTTGATGGCACTTCACAACAACAATATGTTGTGAATGGACTGCGGGGGTGGGGGCTGGGGGCAGGTGGCGGATTTATCTGCAGTTACTCCAGTTCAGTGACACTGTGCGATGACCAACTAACCTGATGTCCCCCAAGGTGCCCCGTGAACGTGAGGATTACATGGTAGACAAACTGCCTTGGGATGGCTTTGCGCCCCTCCCAGTTTCACTCAGAAATGAAACAGATCTGTCCCAGATGAGTCTGTAAAGGGAAGACGGAACTGTAATGTGCTGTCTACCTCGATGACTTTGTCCCACACGGGCCGGTGGTCAATGGCGTCCCAAAGGGTGGCGTGCTTGTCGTGCCCACACGTCAAAAACTGGGGCTTGGAGGCATGGACAGCCAGTCCCCAGAGCTCGTCGGTGTGACCCTGCAGGGAACCAAGACAAACGGAGGCTTTCTGAAATACTGCGGCCCACACCTGCTCGGATCTGTCTTTTTCCTCCTCCCCACAGGCAGCGGATGGAGCGTCAAAGCTAAGGATGGTTACTGTGACCTTCCTGAGCGTACCTGAGTGATGGGTGTGAAGTCCCCATTCAGAGTGCCTTGGAGAACAAAATTTCTAGTGGTACCGATGAGGATCACATCGCCTTTCCCCTCGGCCACTGTGCGGATTGGACCGAACTGTTCTGGAATCTGCAATAACAAAAGTCATGTGAAAATAAAACATCTGGAGTCTCTTGAAGTGACTTCTCACAGCTCAGTCACTGCAAACCCTCGGGGCAGTTCTACCGTGTCCCACAGTGCCACTGTGGGTCAGAATCAACTCAGTAACAGCACTTAACAACAACAACAAGACCTCTATGACAAAATACAGGTTAGACTTATTGAATGTTTCTTAACAATTATGACCGTTAGAAGCAAAGATACTTCAGATTAACAAAGAATCTGGTTCGTGCAACAGATCAAGGCTCAAAACGATTATCGATAGCATCCCTGGCTGACTCACCTCAGTCTTACGAAGTTTCTGATAGTTTCCATTCCAAGAAATGAGTTTTCGATCCTTTCCTCCTCCAGATACCAGTGTGCCATCTCTTAACATACAAAGTGCAAAAATGCCACCTTCGTGGGCCCCTTGGATGGCATAGCTGATTCGATTTGTACCTAAACACACCAGGCAAACCTTCGTGAGTACAGTATCAGATGGCTCAAGGGTGTCCTTTCCAAACCTCATTTCATTTCTGTTTTCAAATGCGGTTATTGTCAGTTAGAGCCTCACAAATTGATGCAGTGACCAATTTCTAAAAGTTCAGACAAGTAGGAACTGGGTGGTATCCTAATTACGGACAATGTGCGCACACAAAGGCGTAGTAGCACGGCTGCAGGAAGCAGAGTGTGGTGAAGGACACAGACTGACTTTAAGTCCTAGCCCCAGAGCCCTTCAGGAACCCTGGTGGTGCTATGGTTAAAGCGCTGGATGGAGAACTGAAAGGTTGGCGGTTCATACCCACCCGGTGGCTCCTCAGAACTGACACAGTGATCTGCTCCCATAAAGATGACAGCCTAGGAAACCTGGTTTTAAACAGATTCTAATAGGGAGCTCTGGTAGCGTAGTGGTTACGAATCGGGCTGTTAAATCTCAGGGTCAGCAGTTCGAAACTACCAGCTGTTGCACGGGAGAAAGATGAAGCTTTCTGCTCCTGTAAAGATTTACAGCCTCGGAAACCCTGTACAGGGTCACTATGAGTCAGAACCGACTCCATGGCACATAACAAAATATAGTGAGGTCCTAACAGGGCACTCCTGCTCATGCATCAGCATGTTGTTATTTATTTATAATTAATGACTCTTTATGTTGGGTGGAGTCCTTGTGTGACACTGTATGATCAGTATTAGACTGCTAATCATAACATTGGTGGTTCAAACCCACCAGTTGCTCCTTAGAGACCCTATATGGGCCGCTATGAGTCAGAACTGACTTGGCAGCACATAACAATGACAACATTTATGTAGGCTAAGTACTAGACCACAAGTTCGTTTGAACTGCAAGGTCGGCAGCTCAAACTCACTAGTCGCTCCTTGAAAACTCTATATAGTGTTGCTTTGAGTTGGAACCCACTCAATGGCACTTAACGAGGACACTCTTGTCCATATATCATAATATTGTTGGTTATAATTGCCATTTCTCTGCCATAAATGATAATACACCCTAAGTTTATTATAAGACATACATTGTTTCTTAAATCTCTAGGCATTTCAAAGCATTTTTTCATCTGGTATCTGGCTGGATAGCCCCGTGGACTAAGCAGATGAGGTAATATCAAACCTGCTTTTTAACAGAATCTAGGGCAGTTTCAATCATTTGCAGAGTATTTCTTAGCTAATAGGAAAGTAGGAAAGAAAAGGAAGGTTTGTACTGCTCTTGGGACTAGGTGTTTTGGGTTGTGTTCAATCCCCAAACATGCCTGTGGGGTAAAGCAAAGCAGTAATCTCATTCCACAAAGGTGGGAAACTGATCTGGAACAAGGGCAAGTTCAAGAGATTCTAATACAGTGATGTCCTAACAGGGCATCAGAAGTAACTTGTCCAAAGGCACAAAGCTCCTAAGGGCTGTTGTACGTATGTATCAGCAAGTTCTAACTCAAAGCAACCCCATGTGACAGAGGAGAATTGCCCCATTACGTTCTTGTAAAGTACACGTGTTACATATTATGATTTATGGTATGTAAATAGTTGTTGACTCACAGTGACCCTGTGAGTCAAAACCCTGGGGACAGAGTTTCCGAGGCTTTTAAATCTCTGCAAAAGCAGAAAGCCTCATCTTTCAATGGAGTGGCTGGTGAGTTTGAATAGCCAACTTTATGGTTCAACCCAACCTTGTGGTCCAGTGCTTACCCTACGGCGCCGTACCAGGACCATTAGGACATAAATACATTGTTGTTGCTTAGAATTGTCAAGTCCGTTCCAACCCATAGCGACTTTGTTACAGGGTTTCCAAGAAGCGGCTGGTGAGCTTGAACCGCTGACCTTGCCACGCAAACCGACTTTGCAGCCCAGCGCATTAACCTCAGAATCTCTTTAAAAACTGTAAAACCACTACTGTACCCACAACTGTTGTTAACTGCAACTGAGTCGGTTCTGACTTTTAGCAACCTTGTAGAGGGGTCTCTGAGGAGCGGCTGGTGGGTTTGAAGTGCTGACCTTGTGGTTAGCAGTCCGGTACCTATCCTACAGTGCCACACCAGGAGTCCACACCCATGATTGAGGTCTGCCGAATGCTACGTGAGTCAGGACGAAATGATTCTAGTGTTTTATAGCTGTATGAAGAGTTATTGATAGACTCATTGCTACACTTTTCAGCAGGTCCCCTAATAACATCAGTGATACTGACTCCATCACAGCATCCCAGGTGCAGAGAGCTCTTTGAGGTCCATTCCCACTGCCATCGAGTCGGTTCCGTCTCACAACAGCCCCACAAGGCAGAGCAGAGCTGCCCCACAGGGTTTCCAAGGTTCCTCTTTACAGAAGCAGACTGCCTCATTTTCCTCCCGGAGAGAGGCTGGTGGGTTTGAAGCACTGACCTTTGGGCTAGCAGCTGGGCACTTAACTACAGAGCCACCAGGGCACCCAGTAAGGCCCATAACTCTTGCTACATTTCCACTTCATCACGCTCCAGTTTTGTGGCTCTGAACGACATGTGTGTGTGTTCACACACTCGAATTTGGACATAGACTGTATTACCGGGCAGTTCTTATAGAGGCTCTGGCCCGACCTCTCCCCTTACAGCATCAACCAAGGTCTGCTCGGAGGGACCAGTTACCTTTTCCCCACACTAAGATGTTGCCACTCGAGTCTCCAGTAATGGTGTCGCCGTTTTCCGAGAAGGTGACACAGAGGACGAACTTGGGCTTCTCTTGTTTCTGTCGGGCACAAATCACAAATGGAATTGTTTGATCAGCACAAGCCTTCTACCTCTGCTAACACTGTGCCTACAATCAAGGGACGTCCAGGCTGCATAGTGGTAGTCTCTGGAATCACACCGTCTACCTTGCGTTTTCATTTACCATGAGCGGCACGCTTTGTGCCACGAGACCCTCGGCTCTACAGTCAAGACATTTCTGGCAACTCCAAGTGACTGGGTCACTCTAAAGTTGCAGACAGTTCTCTCGGAGGACGGTGGTGAAGGGGAGAAGGAAGGGTGTGTTGCCATGGCGGTAGCCTGTAGAACCGCGGCTTTGTAACAGAGCGGGCCCCTCATTAGTCTCTGGGTGCTGGCGGCAATGGCCCCCAAAGAGAGGAAGAACTGCTGCCCCCTGGTGCTCTCAGGAGTTCCCCAAACGGCCAGACACAAGGCACAAAGAGATCTGCCATCTTGTGGGATGCCTGCACTCATGAACATCTTGGTGTGTGTATACATTGTGACCAGACATCACGGTGCAATCATTGCCCACCCTTCGATTACTTCCTCTCTCCGTGTCAGGTCATTTCCAGTGTCACCCACAACACACAGGGGCTCCCCAGCCATGTCAGGGACCCCAGGGAACAGTCTATCAGTACTCCCCCTATTTGTAACCCATACCTTATCAATTAAAACAATTTCAAAGACTAGGATGCTTCCACCTCTCATAAACCTGATTCCATGTACCACTTATAGAGAAAGCATACAGAACAAAGCAAATGTCATTGAACTTCACCTCGAACAATCCTTGCTTCTTAATAAGGGAGTTTCCTTCTAGTGTCCAGAAGTAGAGATGGGATTTTCCACAGGTCACTATAATATTAGTGTCGGTGGGATGGAAATCCGCAGCAAACACAGCTTCGTTAGAACACTTGAAAAAAAACACAGCAGACCCAAATGCCCCAAGTCACTGAAGGCAGCTAAGAAATGATATATAATTGGAACCACAAATAGATCACAGGATGTCTGAACGGCTCCCACACTGAATTCATCATCTCCCTATAAATGTTCACCTTACATTAACTTTGCACCTGCTGATTAGCAGAATTAATACCAGGGATCCTCACAGACATTAGGTGTATGAGGACAGACCTTGGAGATACTGTGATTTCGGTTTGAGACCACTGCAATCCAGAGAGTCACATGGAGGGAGCTCTTAGTTTCTCAATGAGTATAAAAGCTTTGCTGACACCATGTTGTAGTTTAGAAAGTGTGCAGTTGGAGTATAAAGGAGTCCTGGTGTGGTGCTGTAGGATAAGCACTGGACTGCTAACTGCAAGGTCGGCGGCTTAAACTCACCAGCCACTCCTTAGAAACTCTATAGAGGGTCACAATGAGTTGGAACCAACTTGACTGCACTTAACAATAATAAACATTATGTAAAAGTTAGAAGCACGGTACACCTGACTCAAGCCATGGTATTTCCAATCACCTCATATGCATGCAAAGCTTTGATAGTGAATAAGGAAGTCTGTAGAAGAATTGATACGTTTGAGTTATGGTGTTGGAGAATATTGAAAGTACCATGGACTACCAAAAGAACAGACAGATCTGTGTTGGATGAAGTACAGCCAGAATGCTCCTTGGAGGTCAGGACGGCCAGACTTCATCTCTCATACTTCAGACATATTGTCAGGAGGGACCAGTCCCTGGAGAAGGATACCATGTTTGATAAGGGTCAGGGAAAAACAGGAAGACCCCCAGCGAGATGGATTGGCCAAGTGGCAGCATTAATGGGCTCAAGCGTGGCAACAATTATGAGGTTGGCCCAGGATCGGTCAGTGTTTCGTTCTGTTGTGCATAGTGTTGTTGTGAGTCAGTACTGACTCGATGGCACCTAACAGTAACAATATCGTGAGAATAACCAAAATGGGACACAGATGCAAAATGAGTACACATTGTTGGAAAAAATGGCATTGGTAAAGTTGTTAGAAGAAGGGTTGCCACAAACCCTTACTTTGTTAAAAAACAAACAGTATCCGCAAAACACCATAAAGCGAGACCTGCCTGCATCTGTCTGACACAGGCTGCTGAAGATGTCACCACGGAGCCACATAAGATATTCTCAAGGCCAAGACATTCGTCATAACTAGTAAAAATGATGAAGAAAGCAATTTACATGACTTGGCATCTCAAATTTGTTGAAGATACTTTTAAGGTCATTGTAGATGGAACTTCTGGAATGTGAAACCGTTTTCAAATACAACTGACTGTAAATAGGAAGTTTATCTAGGGCACAGCTGAGGAACTCAACAGCCTTTCTATCCTTCTCAGTGGTAAGCATTTCTAAAATAGAAATCTTTATTTTTATAATAGAAAGGAAGCATTTATGCTCATCCACAGAGATAGTTCAAGCGTTTTGATTGGCTTGGTCTCTATAGATCATTAACGATCAAAAAAAGTTGGAGGCAGAGGGGAAGAGCCTACCTGGTGTTTAGACATTTTAATTGTGTTTAGATATTTGTGCAAAACAACATACATTCTGAAAAATCTTATGCACAGCTGGCTGAAAATGTTTACATTGTTCATATTAACTTAAACACAAAACCAAACCAAAACAAAACCCAAGAACCAAATCGACTGCGTCAGCTCGACTCACACGACCCTTCATGACAGAGCAGACCGACTCCTCTGAGTTTCCGAGACTGTAAATCTGTACAGGAGCCGCATCTTTCTCCCACAGAGTGGCTGGTGGGTTTGAACTACTGACCAAGTGGTTAGCAGTTTTATTTTTTTCCCCTAAACTAGAAAAAAAGAACCTAAGAATTATCTATTGCTGTTAAGTGCTGTGGAATCAGTTCTGACCCATAGCGATTTTTTTTTTTTTTTAAATAGCATTTCCAAGAAGCACTAGTGTGTCTGAACCACTGACATTGTGCTTAGCAATTCAGTGCTTATCCTGTTGTTGGTGTTGTTATGTGCCGTGGAGTCGGTTCCGACTCATAGCGACCCTGTTCAGGGTTTCCGAGGCTGTAAATCTTTACGGGAGCAGAAAGCCTCATCTTTCTCCCATGGAATGGCTGACAGTTTTCAACTGCTGACCTTGAGGTTTAGCAGCCTGATTCTATCCTACAGTGCCACAAACAGCTAACTGAAAAAATCCTAAAATTTCTAGTCCAGTCTCCTTGGCTGTCCCTGCGAAGTGACAAATCATCACAGGACCAAACCCAGCAGCAGTTTGGGAAATAAACGGTGTGCCGTATATGCAGAAACTGGGTTAGGTCAACAAAGAGGACAAGCCAAGTAGCTCCTGATGGACACTGTGGGGGGCGGGACTCAGAGGCCATGTCCCCCCTCTGGGCAGCATGCAGATAGAAAGAGATAGAAACAGATAGTCTGTAACTAAAGAGGGGTTTACAGCAAGGATCAGCAAGTGCTTTGCTGAACCACCCAATGTGTGTGTGTGTGTGTGTGTGTGTGTGTGTGTGTGTGGTGGTGGGGGAACAGCCCCGTGTTGGCCATATGAATTCAGGCACCTGGAAGGTGGCTACTGCTGGGCCTCATACCTCCTTCCAGAGAGCCAGCTCCTTTCCTGGCTGGGATCCTCTCAGTGCGCACCCACGCAGGCACACACGCATATACACACTGCCCGCAGACAGAGCTGCACCTTGTTCCTGGACCTAGGTCCAAGAAGTCAGCAGGACTCCTCCTCTGAAGAGTGGGCTCAGAGCAGCTAGGGACTTCAGACAGGGACGCCCATTCCTGGTGGGCCCAGACTCACCACATGTGGGATTAGTGCAGAGAGCCTGGACTCATTCACCTCCTTTTAGAGGATGAAAAGGGTCCAGGAAACTGGACTGTGTGAAGCTCACTCTTCATGGCAGACCCTGGCAGTACTGCTTCCCCCAGGAGGCCCTCCTGGCTCCCACCCGTGGGCCCTGCCGGTGGCACTCCTGGGGTTGGTCTTGGTGATTTAGTGTTGCATCTTTGAATTCAGATCATAACTGGCCTCTGATCAATCCCACCCTGGCAAAGTGCTATAGGATAAGCACAGGACTGCTAACTATAAGGTCAGTAGTTCAAACCCACCAGATGCTCCTTGGGGGAAAGATGAGGTGGTCTGCTTTCTTAATGACTTACAGCCTTGGAAACCTTTGGAGGATCACTGTGAGGCGGAACGGACACGATGGCAGTGGTTTGGTTTGGTTTTGGTTGGGTAACACAGCAAGGAGAACTCAAGCTATAGCACAAAAGGAGCCCTGGTTGCAGGGGAGATGGTGGTGAAGCGCTTGGCTGATAATCAGAAGGTCAGCAGTTTGAATCCACCAGAGAAAAGACCCAGTTTTTGGTTCTTGTGAAGACAGGAGACTAGAAAACTTTTGGGCCAGTTCTGCTCTGTTACGTGACGTTGCTGAGGAAATAACAGACTCCTTGCAGTAGGCTTGGTTTAGGGCATGACAGCAGGAGAAGAGATACAGGAAACATGCTTGATTAGACTCAGAGGAGGAAGAATTTCTGATGGGAACTCTACTGTGAGACCAGCCGCTTCTCCAAGGCTAATGGCTTCCAGGAGGGGAGTCAATCCTATATCATATATGCGATAACTGGATGAAGGTATAGAGTCCTGGTATGGAACTGTTGCAGGATAAGCATTGAACTGCTAACTGTAAGGTCAGCAGTTCAAATTCACCAGTTGAACCTAGGAAACCCTACACAAGGTCGCTATGAGTTGGAACCGATTCTACAGCACTTAACAACGATGAATGTAAGAAGAGGGTATAAGGAACATTAACTTGACGTATTTTGTGAAGTGGCTTTGGGACCTGTAGGGGGCTTGAGATAGACCAGTGGCACTTCTGGTCTTTCCTGAGTCCATTTAGCCATGGACATGCCCGGGAAACCTGCTCTAACCTCAGCATAGAGAGCACATCTGGTCTGCCATGGGTTCCCCGCACCTCCCTGCACAGTGGGCACTCCATGTTTGTGGAACGAATGACTTGAAGTACAAATAAATGAATCAAAAAGAGAGTGGACGTCAAATGAGCAAGAACCAAAACCTTGCAGAGGTTGTGGGTAAGCCTGACAGGACGTGGCAGTGGAGGTCTGTGAGGGGACGGGGCAGGGGTCGTGCCCGAGGGCTGTGGCCAGGGGCAGACAGCCCACTGAGAGAAATGGGGCAGGGGGCCAGGGCCAGTGGGCAGGGGAACAAGGTGGGTTCCTAATAGGAGTATGTGTGAGACCTTCACGTCGGCCAGCCTCCCCTCCTTCTGCCAGTCCCACACGGACAGCACGTGGTCATTGGCATCGTCCACAGCACACAGGTTGCTTCCTCCATTCTGGAAAAGAAAGTTTTTCACAGGAAACTAACTTTGAGAATAAAATGGGTTGAACAGGTCTGAAAACGGACATTCATCTTAGTCTTCATCATGAGCCTTCACGCTTTGGTTAAAGACTATTCACCACGGCCTCTGAAACCTGCTGACTTGACTAGTCGCTGAGAGTAGGTGAAAGGTGAGCGATGAAGGGGCAGGAGCTGACCACAAAGGCATCAAGGGGCTGCACCTGCCCTAACCGACCTCAAAGGGGCTGCGGAGCTCCATCCTCCAAGAGGCAGGGGCCTGCACCTTGTATGGTGTGGGGACCAATTTGGCCTGTGACCAGGGAAACCTGCAGATGGGGCATGGAGGCACATGGCATTCTGTGTGAACACACACAGCTGTGGGGAATGTAAGACTCAAATGGCGAGGAAGTACACAGGCTCATCTGTGGGACCGCACACAGCTGGCACGGTGGCGTGGGAGAGCCTGGGGTCCCCGTCTAGTCCCTGCTGGAGGCTGGGGATGAGAGACCCACAGGGGGCACTGCCCCACAGGGTCTCTACACATCACACAATTCCACACTGGCCATGGTAGATAACACCAGGCCCAGGGGAGCAGGAACTTCCCAGAGTTCCAATCTGAATGGTTAGCTCTCTCCCCGTCTGGATGGACACAAAGACTGCAATACCCACAGGAAACTTACAGATTTTGAGAATGCAATACAGGTGACAGCTCGGTCAAAAAACCCACTTCCGATGACATGCAGCGTATTTAACGTCACAGAATCCCAAATGCGAACGTGTGGAGGCAATTGCTGTTTTTTAAAAAAACAAAAGAAAACAAAACGGCATAAGCAATAGTTGTGATGGTTATCTTGATCTTACATGTGATGCTGTATAAGATAAGAACAAGATGACTAGCCACAAGGTCGGTGGTTCAAACTCACCAACTACTCCTTGGAAACCTCATACAGGGTCGCTATGAGTCAAAACGGACTCGATGGCGCTTAGTAAGAACAACATCTGACCTCAAACTTTTAAAACGGTGGTGTGTCAATTTGACAACTCTTTTTTCTGCTTTTGAGGAGTTGGCCTGTTGTTGTAAATAAGACATTTCCAATGGTTTCATAAGGATCCCTGCTGGCACAGCGCGTTAAACATTGGGCTGCTAACCAGATGTTTGGTGATTTGAACCCATCCATCAAGTGCTTGCTCCATGGGAGAGACATGAGGCTGTCTGCCTCTGTAATGACGTACAGCCTTGAAACTGCCAGGAAGTAGGGTCACCATGAGGCTGAGCTCACTGCACAGGGGCGGGTTTTCTTCACCTTTTGTGTGTGTGTGTGTGTGTGTCCTGGCCACATGTGGCCAATTTAACTTTAGGAGGCGTCTACCAAGTTTCACATTCTGAACAGCCCATTCTTGGTAACTGTGCTGATATTCTAATGTTTACATCTTGTTGTTGGTGTTGTTATGTGTCGTGGGGTTGGTTCCGACTCATAGTGACCCTGAACAGGATTTCCGAGGCTGTAAACCTTTATGGGAGCAGAAAGCCTCATCTTTCTCCCGTGGAACAGCTGGTAGTTTTGAACTGCCGACCCTGAGGTTAGCAGCCCAATTCGTAACCACTATGCTACCAGAGCTCCTTAATTGTACATCTAGGTACATTCAAATGAAAAACAGGGTCTCACCTATGGGTCAGCCTCTCAAAGTTTACGGTGTGGCAAACTACAAATTTGTCTATGGTCATCACTAAAGAGCAGTAAGAGTGTGTGGGCTCAGTCATTCAAATATGCATAAAATGTAGAATTGTACCGTTACTCCTCTCAGCTGTGGTCCTAGGTTATTTATGCTCATTCTGCTATATGATGTTAGTTTAATATTAACGACTGGATTCCTAATAGTAAAAAGCACTGTACAGCAATCAATGCAAAATCAGCAGGGGGCTAGCACTGTACATTGTGGGCAGACCAGGTTAGGGGGAGCTGGGCTGGAAGCAGCTGGTGTCAGCAGAACCCACTGTCTCATACGGGCAGTGAACGTGTTGGCTCAGGCAGTCAGGACTTTCTTGGCTTAATTCCTGATTCCATTTAAAGCCAGAAAGCGAAATATGCTTTTCAGCCACTAGAGGGAGATCAAGTAATTTCCAAAAATCAAACTTTTATTTTTTTAAACTGTGGTAAATACATATATATATA